TAAGTATTTATTGTGATTCAATTTGTTAAATACTGCAACACACATATATTTAAATACCATATTCTTATTTTTTGTAGTGTTCAATTTGCACATCATTTTCTTAAAATTAGGGCTGTATATCTAAAGTGAGAAACCAAGAACATTTTTCTTTATAAAGAGGGCATCTTTTCTTATATCTTACAGTTTTTTCTTAGTATCTTAAAGCTTTAAAGGTGAATCTTGTTCTATTCTTCGTCTCTAAATTTTCATTCCAAGTTTCTTATCATGTTCTTTCCATGGGTTTGGCTCTTGCTCTGTCACTTGGGTGGGTAGATATTTCTGCAGGTTTGTTTAGTTGCTAGTCAACCACACCTTTGGTTTTCTTTCATAGGATTGAATTGTTCTTCCTCCTAGCTCCTACCTGGCTTTTCTACTTAATATAACTCAGAGTACAATCCTTTTCCTCTTTTAAGTTTTCTGTGCTTTTATGGCAAGTGGGTTATGCCTTTTATTTTAAACAGCTTTATTGCAATACAATTCACATACCAGGAAATTCATCCTTTAGCACATTTACAATACCATAAAATTCATCCCTCAGTATACAAAGGTGCAACCCTCTTCACTTCTTGTTTTTTGGTACCGGGGATGGGTCCTTGTGCTTTTGAGGTGGGAGCCCAAACCACTGAACCAAATCCCTGGCCCCAGAACCCTCCTCACTTCTGATTTTAGAATATTTTCATCACCCCAAAAAGCAGCCCTGTACCCACAGCCATTATTCCCCATTCCCTGGCCTCCTGGCACCCCCTAATCTACCTTTTGTTTCTATGAACTAGCCTATTCTGGACATTTAATACACAAGAGTCATACATCATAGGGGTCTTTCATCTCTTGCCTCTAATAGCATAATGTTTCCAAGGGTCATCTATGTTGTAGCATGTCTCAGTATTTCGTTTTTAGCACCAAATAACACTCCATTATATGGCAAAGCCCCATTTTGTTTTTTCACTCATGAATCCAACACTTGGTGTTATGTGTCTACCTTTTGGCTGTATGAATAATGCCACTATGAGCATTCATATACTGGTTTAGTGGGACATGTTTTCATTTCTCCTGGATATACACCTAGAATTAGAATGGCTGTGTTATATGGAAACTCTAAGTTTAACTTTTTGAGGAACTGCCAAACTGTTTTCTGGATTGGCTGTATCATTTTATATCCTCCCAGGCATGTATGAGGGTTGCAATTTCACTACATTTTCAGCAACTCTTATTATTGTCTGTCTTTTTATGCTCTAGCCATTCTAATAGTTGTGAAATGGCATCTCGTGTGTGATTTTTTTTTTGGTACCACGGATCGAACTCAGGTCCTTGCGCTTGTGCAGCAGGTGGCGAAACCACTGAGCTAAATCCCTGGCCCCTCGTGTGTGATTTTGATTTATATTTCCCTAATGAGTAATGAAGCTGGGCATCTTTTCATGTTCTTACTGGCCATTTGTATGTATCTTCTTTGGAGAAGTTGGGTTTTTAGTATATGTGCTGCCGAAGCGAGCACTGAGAAGTTGGGTTTTTAAAAATCATTGCTAAGTTGTAAATTTTTTCTATATTCTGAGAACAAGTTCCTTATAAGACATATGCTTTGTAAATATTTTCTCCCATTGTTTTTTTAAGCGTGTGTGTGTGTGTGTGTGTGTGTGTTTTACAGGTCTAACAACCCAGGGCTTTGCATCTGCTATCTTTTTACTTTCTTGATGATGTCCTTTGATGCACAATTTTTTTTTTGGAGTCTTATTTATTTTTTCTTTTATTCCTTTTTTTTTTTTGGTACTGGGGATCAAACTCAGGTCCTTGCGCTTGCAAGGCAGGTGGCAGAACCACTGAGCTAGATCCCCAGCCCTCTTTTATTGCTTATGAATTTTGGTTGGATCTCAGAAATCATTTCCTATCCTAAGGTCACAGAGATTTAACACTATGTTTTCTTTGAAGAGTTTTATAGTTCTAGTTCTTCACATAGGCCTATTCCATGTTACTTTAAATATTTTAATTAATTAATTTATTGGTGGCACTGGATATTGAACTCAAGGCTTTTATACTGAGCTATATACCCCCAAGCCTTTTAAAATTTTTTTATGTGTTTCAAATTTGCTATCCTCCTACCTCAGCCTACTAGAATGTTGAGATTATGTGTGTGCCACCACACCGGCTTCAAATTCATTCTTTTACCAGTTGAAAAGAAAGACAATTCCTTTCCCATTGAATTATTTTAGCACCCTTGTATAAAGTTGTATTTTTATTAGAGTTTCCCAGATTTTGCCTTGTTTTGCAGTAAAGATAATACATCCTTCTCTTTTATTGGAGGACAAAGAATATGTCTGTTCATTTAAAATGAAAAAAAAGTATGTGATAAGCATCTACCTCAGTACATGCTGATAGTGAATATTTTTTCTTTCTTTTGTCTCCCTGTATTGTAGACAGCTAAGTCAAATAGAAATTCACAGACAGTCAGACAGGGCAAGGCCCTCAAGGGAGTCAGTGCAGATGATAAGAACACATCAAAACTGGCTGGAGGTACATCTGAAGAAGGCAAGACCTTGAGATTAAAATCACAATGCCCAGACGTGCATACTTCCCTAAAGGATGAATGCAAACTCAAGATTTTGGTACCATCCAGTCCATTAAGTCCAGACAGGCATCAGTCACCCAGATGGGTGACGAGAACATCTGGACCCATCCTTTCCCCAAAACAACCCTAGCTGGGTGAGGGACATATGTTTGTAATTCCAGAACTTGGGAGGCTGAGGCAGGAGGATCATTGAAAATTCTAGGCCAGTCTGGGCTACATGGTGAGTTCAAGGCCAGCCTGAACTGCACAGTGAGACCCTGTCTCAAAACAAAACAAAACAAAAGAAAACACAACAAAACACAAAACCCTAAAGGTCTAGAATCGGTTTTTTTTCCTGAATTTTCAGTTCTCCAAGTATCTACTTATTTAACTGCTTATGCAGTAATACAGTTATAACACATGGACTTGACTGACCTCAATTCTTCAAAATCAATGGTGGTTCTTACTTGTTTAAAAAGGAAAAGATTTTCTCGGGTAACAACAACCACTATTGGAAAGGAAAAGAAACAGCATGTGGTTATGGCAGGCAATTCTGTTCTCAGTGATCCTTTTCTCTCTTACATGTTGAATATTAGGAGCTCACATAGTCTGAGAAACAGCAGAGAGCTAAAGATAAGCCCTGTTCATTTCATGCAGGAATTCCCTAAGGTTGTGTGTCCAGGCAATTTTTCTGCCTGCTGGTTAAGTATCTTTTTGTGAGATTCCAAAATTGGTTCCTCTGTGTGAAGAATGTATGTGCACCTACTGAACCTTAAATGTATATGATACATGAACACCCAATAACTTGTTACACAACTCTTTCCAGATTAGAAAAAACATGGGGGGGGGGAGTAGGTCCCACAGCTAAGTGGTTTCAGCAACTCCAGAGCCAATGGTCTTGCCATTTGGCCAAATCGCCTCTATATCATTGGTCATGGAGCTCCTGAAACACATTTTCTTCCTGTCCTAGGGACTGTGGCCTTTTCGTGACCCTAAGCACAGTGAGGCTTTATTTATGCAATCATTCATAAGTTTTTATTAGCACATGTGTGCAGTACACAATTACATTCATCACAGGGAGTGGGTACATATACATCTTAATTCTTTATATGCCCCCCCCCATTTCTTGGTCATTTATTTACCTTTTGCCATTCTGGGGACTGAACCCAGGGCCATGCACATGCCAGGAAAGTGTTTGACCACTGAGCTATCCCTCCAGTCCTATTCACTACTTTAAAGAATTAAGCTTTATTTATTTATTTTTCAGTACTAAGGATTGAACCCAGGGGGTTTGCATTGAACTACATCCTCAGTCCTTTATTTTATTTATTTTTGTAGACAGGATCTTACTAAATTGCTGAATTGCACAGGTTAAGGTTGAATTTGTGATCCTCCTGCTTCAGCCTCCCAAAAGCGTTGAGACTACAGGTGTGTGCCACTGTGCTAGGCTTCATTTTTAGGTTTACTTATTTTTAATTTTTTGTGTTTTTGAGACACAGTTCCCACGCAGTGCAGCTCAAGCAAGCTGTTAACTCGTGATCCTCCTGCCTCAGCCTCCCTGGTGATTAGACTACTGTATTTTGAAGAGAGGCTCTGGATTCACAACAAAATTTAGCTGACAGTACGGCGCACTCCCTGCCCTCACATGCACAGATCCTCCCTCATCATTCCTTACAGAGTGCTACACTTGTTACAACTGTCGAACCCATACTACCGCAACTTTTGTCCCCACCAGACCACGGCTGACACTGAGGTTCACTCTTGGTGTCGTCCATTCGGCGGGCCTGGACAAATGCGTATGCATGAGTGACAGGTACCTCTGTAAATTCACTGTGCTCCGGGAGGGCCAGATTCTTAGAGGGAAAAGAGAAGAACAGGTTATATGAGAAACCCAAAGGAAAACTAATGTACAGAGCTAAATAAAAGATAAACAGGACACAGGGAGCTCGACCTTGAGCGAGAGAGGGGCCAGCGCCAGGGCGAGCGGCGGCGGCGGAGGCTCAGCTCGACTCCTCCCCAAGCTCGCCCGAGTCCGCAGCTGGAGCTGTCGCGTCGTCCCCCAAGCCCGACCCGGGACGGGTTCCTCCTCCTTTTGTTTAAGTGTCAGGCGAATGGGTTTCCTGTTGACGCCGGAATCCTGAGAAGGGGCAGGAAGAGTCGGCCAGCCCTCTCCCCGACCTCCGCCGCCGGGTGACTCCAGCGTCGCCCGGGTCGACTCTGGCCCGGCCGAGCGCCTTTGGCGACCCCGCCCCTCTCGTTCCCTCCCCCGGAGGCCGGGCTGGCGCCGCGCTGCAGGGCGGGGCGAACGGGCCGAGGCCGCCAAGCCGCAGGTGGAGCCCGCGCGGGCCGTTTCCGCACCGTCGCCTCTCCCGGCCGCCTTCGCCGCCCGCGGGGCGCTGGCGCGGGGCACCCGGTGCCCGTGGAGCGGGGCTCCGGGGCCGCAGCTCGCCCTCGCCCATGGCTGAGGGCCGGCGGCGGGAGGACGAGGAGGACGAGCTGCGCGAGCGCCGCGAGCTCGGGGGTCCGCGCCGCGCCCGGGGCCGTGCGCTCTCGGGCCACGCGGCCGCAGGTGAGGGGCGCGGGCGCGCGGGGCCGGACGGGGCGCTCCGGGGCCACTGGGGCCTGGCCCGGCCGGTGGCGGCTCCTCGCCCGCGCGGTTGGGACGGGCACCTCTCACTCTCGGAGGGAGGGCGGGTGGGCGCCCGAGTGGCCTTTCCACCCTCCTCCTGTCACTTGCGCGCTGAACCCGAGGCTGTTTCCTAGGGTTCTCTCAACCTGCTAGTGGTCCTGTAGCCGAAACTCCAAAATTTCCGTGCAAACAGTCCCAAGAGCTGCTGGCTTGGACCTGGTGGCCTTGGTGATTGCTTATCTCCGGGTGAGTCAGAGGCCGGAGGGAGAGCTCGCTGGGTCCAGCAGTCTCGGGATCGCGACCCCGCCAGAGGGCTGGGCACACCTCGTGCTCCGACTGAGTCCGGATCTGTGTCCCGTGAACTTTGGACCTCTGTCCCTTCGCCTCCCTCCCCAGCCTCCAGAGCTCACCGGTTTTCCACGACTTGCTTTAGTTATTTTGTGACCTTCCCCATTCTCCCAGTAAAGTCTAGACTAAGAGCGTTCTAAAAGGCCGGAGTGTCATTTCTGGGGCTGTAACGACTTTGCTGGTCGCGTGTTTTGGGTGCCCACAAACTCACGGATCGGATCCAGTAGTCCGGGGCACCAGTAGACAGCGAATGAGTGTACATCCACACCCCTTCCCTCTTCCTGGGCGGCTTTTCAGACGGACATAATGGAGAGGAAATTGTTTGGCCTTTGTTTCCAACTGGATAACTAGTTATCTGGACAACAGGGAGGAACAGACCTAGGGGGACAACGAAGAGATGAAGCAGGAAGCTTCGGATGAGAACACTTGTTCTCCTCAGGACAGTCTTTAGAAAGTGAAGTACAGCGAGTTTCCTTCAAGCCGTGGAGGCCTTTGTGTGATTTCCTTTAACCACTAAGAGAAAGTTGGGAACGGAGAGTAGAAAACGTGATGAAAGGAAAGAACTCGAGCTGAACCTGAAGAAATGGTAGATTCGATGCCCTTGGAACAGTGTTTTCTTTCCTCTGTAGTACTGGGAATCAAACCCAGGGTGCTCTACCACTGAGCTACACCCCGACCCCCTTTTAAATTTTAGTATTAGTTTTTTATTTTGAGACAGTCTCACTAAGTCGTGAAGTTGCCTGAGCTGGGCTCAAATTACCTTCGCTCTCCCTCAGTTTCCCAGAGTGCTGGGATTATAGCCGGACACCCTCCTGCCATGCCTGGCTCCCCAGCTGTTTATGTTTTGAGACAAGGTCTGGGTAAGTTGTCCAGGCTAGCCTAGACCTTGGCAATCCTCCTGCCTCTGCCTCACAAGTAGGTGAATTACAGGTGTGTGCCACGGTGCCTGCCTCCCTTGGTACAGTCTTGGAACCTTAAAGCTAATTCCCTATGCCCATTACTAGGACTTTTCATCAAAATAAGACATTTGTCTAGGAACACCAATTATTATGAAAATAATTGATGGTTTTGTTCAGTGTAAATCCAGAACTAGGGAAATAATGAGTAATTACTGGATGCGAATACATTTTTTTTCAAAAAGGTAATGAAAAAACTTCATGAGGATCCCCCTCCACTGAATTGCAGATCTGCATAGTGTAGGCTCTCTTGGATTCCTATTACCTCCAGCAAAAACTGTTGCTCTTACCAGAGACTGAATACTGTGGAGCTGTATTGGAATTTAAACTAGATATGATTCAAGTAATTATCATTTAGTTGCAATGTGTGTGTTTATTCCAAGGTTGGTGGAAATGGCATTTTTGTAACTTTTTACCAGTTCCATAATTTCCCAGGGCTGGCAAAGCTTTTCTAGGTTCTTTGGTAATATTTTGCAGAGGCATGAGATTGTGTGCTTTTGCACTCAATGTATTTGCCCTCTTCATGAAGGAGTGAAGAACAGCAATATTATGGAGTGGAGAGAGTCAAACTTGTAATTTTGGATTTTATTTCTTTAGGGATTCGTTCTTTAGTAGTTTACTTCTCTTTACAAGCTGTTCTCTCTCCCCTCAGTAGTTACGGTGTTTTTCAGACACCCTCAAATTCCTTACTAAGTTTGGGCATTTGTTAGCCGGTGTTAAGAGGGTGCCATCCTCCCAAGGGAGAGGGAGTGGGAGCAGACCCAGAAGCTTCCCATCTCCTCTGCTTCTCACCTTACACTTTTGTTGTTCACAACACTCCCTCCCCCATTGCTTTATAATCTAAAGATTTTCATTTTCTTTGATCTCACATAATTTGATACTATAAACCTGGGGTTTGGGGACTGGTCAGAGCCTCTGAACCCAGATTCTCTTCCTGCTAATTTATTCGTGGTTGTATACATCATCTGTTTACTTTTGTAACATGCACATAGAAGAGTATACAAAGCTTGTAAATTATAAAGTGGAAACTCCTGCTATCTGTTCCCTAGAAGCAGGTGCCCGTCCTTCCCAGACATAGCCTCCTCCCTCCCTTATAGGAAACCTGTTTTTTTCTTTTTTGATTTCTATTTTCTCCCATTTACGATGTTGGGGATCGAACCTAGGGCCTTGTTGCGTGTTAGGCAAGTGCTCTACCACTGAGCTATACCCACAGCCTTACTTTTTGTAAACTTTGTGGCTAATTCTCCTTTTCTGCACAGTTTACCAGATACGTTCATTTCTACACAATATTTAGTTTTGCCTAGTTTACAGGCTGACCTAAGTGGGACTGCCTGTACATATTCTTTTTTCTATATTTTTGCCATATTTCTTTTTTCTTTCTGAGCGCACCATTTTTTAATTTTTTAATTTTTAAAAATATTTTTGGTACCGGGGATCGAACTCGGGTCCTTCAGCTTGCAGGGCAGGTGGCGGAACCACTCAGCTAAATCCCCGGCCCCTCACCATTATTTTTATTAACCCAGCAGAAGATAGGCCATGACTTGAGATTGTGAACTGTCTAGAATGAACTCTTCTAATTTGAAGGCCAAGAGCCCCAGGCAGAATCTGATCACAGGGCACTCTTTGAACTGCAACCTTAGAAAATAAAAATATTTTAAAAATTACAATAAGAAATTGGATTTGGGTAATCACAATTTCACATGAGATGTGAAATTTAACAAATTTAACAATTTAACATGAGATGATAATTGATTTAGTGCTTACCTTCTTCATAAAACATAATTATGTTTTCACAGGGCTTTTTTTGATGGTGGGGGGAGGCTACTGGAAATTGAGCCCAGAGCCTTGCACATGTGCTCTGCCATGAAGCTGTATCCTCAACCCTGCTTCCTTCGGTTTTTATAAAGTAATTCGGTGTCTTTAGGGATGGAGGTGTAGCTCAGTGGCGGAACATTTGCCGGGCATGCAGAGGCTCTGTGTTCAACTACCACTGCAGGAAAGAAAAAGAAAAAAGAAAGGCCTAGATGAATTTTGAAGATTGCAGGAACAACCATGTGCTGAGAGTGAAGGCAGTGAAAGCTAATCAGTAATTCATGATTCATGAGATTAACTTATGGGCAGTCATAGGAAGGGTCTGTGAGGAGCAGAGGATGTAATTGCTTGAGTTTCATGCACTGATGCTAAGGTGTTGTGAATTTGGTATCATGTGAAATATTTACTGTTGATTGTGGCATCCCACGATCCTGAATTGCCTCACCTGACATAGACTGGTTATTATAAAAGCCACCTGAAGCCTTTGGGTATTTTATTAATCCACTGAGTGTCAGTCACAAGGCAGAGGATATGCTACTAATCCAGTGTTTCTCAAACTTTTCCTGCATGCACCGGAATTGCATAAAGGGATTGTACAAACACAGGCTGCTGATCGCTCTTCCCAGAGTTTGACTCAGTTGGTCTGGGTAGTGCCTGAAATTTTTCTTTTTCTTTTTTCAGTGCTGGGGATTAAACCAGGGATGTGCTACCATTGAGCTATATCTCCAGCTCTTTTTATTTTTTCTTTTATTTATTATTTATTTTATTTTGAGACATGGTCTTGCTGTGTTGCCCGAGCTGGGTTGAACCTGAGATCCTCCTGCCTCAGCCACCCCAGTAGCTGGGATTAGACATGCATCATCACATCCAGCACTCTGCAATGAAGAGAGAAATCATATCCCAACACTGAGTCTTAAATTCATTCTTTCTCCCTTTCTTTTTTTTAGGGGGAAAGCACTGCATGTGTTAATTTCTGTCAGTGTGTATAAGAAGTGCAGTAGAGGCCTGCTCCCATAACCTTAACTGGAAAAGGCTTATTGTAAGGGTATACAGGTCATTGGAGTGACACCAGAAGTAGATTTCGAAGTAAGAGTAACTCGAGGAAATGGACAGCAAATAGCTACAGCAAAGAAACACCCTTTGTAAGTTAGAATACTCTACTGCTCCTCCTGTTAGCGGCAGCATCATTTGTGATTCGGTTTATCTGCATCTGCTTCCATGGCTTATGAGGGTACTGAATAATTGGCTCTCTTATTTTTCTCACAGGACTCCCTTTTCAAGCAGGGTCCCCATGCCCATTTACCTCAGAGGCCAATGACAGACTTAAAGACAGGCTTTTTCTGATCACCCCAGGTCCCTCTGCAGGGAAGGGCGCGAGTCTTGTACCCGCATGGCCACCAGTAGGAGAGAGGTGTCTGCAGTGGCCTCAAGCAGATGGGACCTAGGGCCTGGGGTACTCAGGTTTCTCAGCATGGAGACCAGCTGGCAGGTTCCTCTATTATCAGAAGCCTGGGTTTGTGTCCGGCTGGATTTGGGTGTATAAAGGTATCAAGTCCAGCGCCGGGAGCCTTCCCGAGTGTCCACTGCAAAGAGCCGAGAGGGCGGGGCCTAGGGGGAGGCGGAACTGCGCAGGTGCACCGGTCCCAACGCCCTGCCTATGGGAGCGCAGGCTCCACCGGCTTGAGTGGCCACTGAACTGGACCAATGTTCAAGTGGGCGTTTGGCTGCCTATAGGAGGAAAGGCTGTTTCCAGGTAACGGGGAAGATAGTAGGAGTGATTGCAGCAGCAACTGCATTTTAAAAGCCCTAGATCCTCCGCGGCGT